CTGTCTTCTGGGTTGTTGCGCTGTGTAGTCTGGTCGATGTTAACCAACGTTTCAGAGGTCATACTGCCTCCGTCATCAGGGCGATCATCGCCCTGATGACGGAGGCAGTATGACCTCTGAAACGTTGGTTAACATCGACCAGACTACACAGCGCAATAACCCAGAAGACAGAAATCTTCATACTCACCGCTGTGAGAACCTCAAGTTCAAATGAATTGTTTGTGGTAATTTTTAAACTGTTGTGCTGGAAGATTGTAGGGCAAAGCTTTGCTCCATAATATTTTTACAAGCGACAAACAGCTGATTATAGGAATATTATTTTCCGGGATGTTGCACCATGTAGTCTGGTGTAAATTTATTGATGTTCCAGATGTGCTTAATACCTCCATCATCAGGTGATCACCATGATGATGGGGGCAGTAGGCTCCTCTGCAATGTTGGTAAACATCTAGTAGGCTACATGACACATCATCTGAGGAAACCTCTTCATAACTCACCATCATGAGAACCCAAAACCTTAGTTGTAATACATACATATCTCTTCTCTAACACAAAATGTTATCTATAATGCTGACAGAAATGTAATTTCAGTGAATTTCATCCTTTATCTGCTCCGTATATTTTCTCTTGTTGGGGCTGTGTTATTGCTTCACAAATAAGGGACAATGTATGAATTTCTTGGGGGTGGGTGCAAACTCGCTTAATGATAAATATTTAAATTTAATAATGTTTGAGTATGCTGATTGTCTGCTGTATAAGTGCAATTAAAGTATTGAAAGCTGTCTTTCTGATCTTCAGCTATTGTCCATATGGTAATTTAAACGTAGTTGCCCAGTCATACAGTGTGCCACTTCATTAGGTCATTCAGAAATACAACCAGTGTATGACCCATGAAGTAGCCAAAACTTAAAAAACAATAATATCGGCAAGGTAAGAAAATTTCCACCACCAGTGCGCATCATACAAATCACAGTAGCTTTGTTGGTTGCATTATTTGAAATAAAGTTCATTACTGGCACAACTCTAATGGTAGAAGATTTGGCAAGGGAGTCATTGAAGATTTTCTCAAGGCATTTTAAATTTCCCAGTTTACTGTTCTTTCCTTGACACCGTGGTTCATTACCGTATAACCGTCCATGTTAGGAGACCACACCAGTATCACAAACATCAGTTTGAGCATTGTAGTACTTGCAATCTCGCTATTTCTAACGTTCAATGAATACTACACATTACTTTAACATACTAATGCAGGACGTATTTGGCCAGCTAGGCTTTAAGAGTATAGCAGTTTTCTAGGATATTCTGATTTCTGCCCAAGTGATAATGAGTTGTGATATGTATACACATCAAAGCATCTCACATACCAAATAGAAACTGAAATGCTAGGCACTGTTGAAGCAGTGATTTGAACAGCTATAGAGACAAGTTCAATTTAGAATAGAATATAATAAATCTATAACGATATGACTTGCCACATAAAGATTACCGCCTTCTGGGTTGTAGTGCCATGTTGTCTGGTAGGAGTTTACCAATGCCTTGATTATGGGGGGAGCAAGGACCTCTGAAACCTCTGTCATTGCTGTTTGATTGTGTGGAATATGTTTACAGTGTTTTTATTGGCAAAGCATTCTTGTAGATGTGTTTCGTTAGAGCCAGGTGATAATATCACACACAGGTTTTGTTTGCATTCAGCTTTGTAACTACATTTACTATCTGTTGGTCACCGCATTCTGATAATTTCACTCCTTAATTGTAGACAACAAGCTATTTGTATGCTTAGCAAAATAAGTTTAAACAAAAATAAGAATCATGAGGCAGTTGTTCCTGTAACTCGACCAACATATATAGCATGTCCCATAAATTCAGGGCCATAGGAGAACTGTTATTTGGCAAAATACAGAAAATGTGAAGATTGAACAGTTATTGCAGATCATATGTTTCAAGTGTTGAAAATTTTTACTTATTATAAGCCATTACACATCTTATATTATTGATAGTAAATGCTAGGTGATGTTGCCGCATTGACTGCAGAATACACTGAAGATTCTAGATCTCCAAATTAAAATAATTTAATTGCCTTATCATGTCTCAAAGAAATCAGAGTTGACAGTTTTGCTTCTGGAGGGAATCTTTCAGTGAATCAGATAAATACAAGAAGGAAACTCAGTACCCACCTGTGTGATCCATAAATGAGTGAAACTGTCAGCCAACTGTGCAGAATCTGTTGGAACATCCCCAATAATATCTCAGCTTGATTCACTAGACACTTCCTTCCCACCAAAATTTTTGAATGAAGAATAGTGACTCATCTTATGCTTTGTTTTTTTTTTTTGGGTTATCAATCCTAAGATTGGTTGGCCCCCCATTACGGGGTTTTGACCTACAAAGATACCACGATGGTTTCGCCTTGCCTTCCGTGGCCAGTCTTTATCCAACAGACTGGAAGAGAAAGGACTCCGCCAAACATCCATGCCTTGAGTGGGACTCGAACCCACGGTCCCAGTGGCCAGGCGCATGAGGTACATGCCTCAGACCGCGTGGCCGGCCATCTTATGCTTGTATAAAGCAAATCATTAGGACATACATTTTCCTTGCTATGATTCCAATCTCATTACTTTTGCCTACATAATATGTGGCATGTTATTGTGTTACAACTGCAATTTAAGTAATGTTTTTCAGGAACATTGCATGACAGTGCACTTCTCCCAGCATACCAAATTTAGAACTGGTAATACTCTTTTGTGTGCAGTTGCATAAACTTACAGGAAGAAGCACCATTCACAATCTTATCATTAGAATATTTATAATCCTGTTCTCCTGCGAACAAATAACTGAGAACTGTGTTCCAGACTACATTAATTTTTTTTAATATTAGCAACACCACTTCATTGCAAATCTTGAATATTATGTTAAATTACAAAATCAGGATTAACTGCAGTCATGTTAATATGACTTGGTACCAAAACAGGAGCAATCTAGTTTGCAGTCATGAAAAGTTGAAGGGTTTCAGAATTTGAATTCATTACAATTTATTCAAAACTTAAACGAAGTTATGTGCTTAAAAACCATACCTCATCCTTTTATACAGTTACGTTAGTTTGTATTTAAGAATCGGGATTCATACCAGTGTGATGGCTTCTGAATGACGTATCTTAAAGAAGGAAAGTAAAAACTGTATGTGTGTATGGTATTACATCCTGGTTGAGATGACTAGCTTCTAGGTGCTTCTGCTTTCCGAGGTACTCTCGTACGACGGTTCCACGCACTGTAAGGTGTCGGACCATGCCCCACATAGCCAAGACCTGTTACTGCGTGACTTCCATTTGTCCAGTCCTCTCACAAAAGTGTTAAAGGGCTTTTAGATTCAGGTCAGGTTAAGATATCAAGGCTGCGGTGGTACAGCGGTTCTTGCAGCAGCCCAGAGAGTTCTTAGATGGGATCCATCAGCTCATACATCAGTGGGATGCCTTTCTCAAAGCCCATGGGGACTATTTTTAATGTCTTCTACCCCCTTTGCCCAGAACAATCCTCAAATGGGTTTTATTTGAACAAGCCTCACTGATGCAAGGTGAAAGATGACTGCAGAGTGAAGCTGGAGGGATGGAGAATTAGCAATCCAGGCCCAGTTTCCTGCAAACAAAACAGACCGTCATATTTGTCTCTGGTAAATAAACAGTATAAAGAAACATTCTGCTGTTGAGTGCGTACCTGTAGGTTTCTTTGTTGACTGTAACGGCCATGGCACCTTCATTATCACAACAATCGAGCTCTATGCAATGGAGTCGACTGCCCCACTCACAGTGTTGTGTATCACGCTGCTTGTACAGTTTGATCTGTAGGCATGTTGACAGTTCCCCTGATCCCTGCACCTGTCACGGTTAACACAGTCGTCGCACACTATAATCATGGTATTTCACATGAGGCATTCAAATTTATGGGAGAAGTAACTATTACATCCCACCTGCTTTACCAATCAATAACTTTGTTTTGTATTTATGGGTTTCATGTGATTCTTGCTGTAAAGATCGATTATTTCCTTAAAGATCATTAACAAGCTGATGTAATGGTGAAGTGTTGCGGTTTCGAAATTTTATATTTTTTTAAAAAATAATATTAAAAACTTGTAAACAATTATCACATTTCACACTTCATTGAAACTAAAGGTCATGGCAAGATGGGGTTAAAGCACTATGAAATCAGACTTTTGAGTGCCATGACACTGCTAGTTGCTGGTTCTGAATGACTGACAAAATTTCCCTACCTTCATACCAATGATGAGATCCTGTCTCTGTCCCTTCTTACTGGGACTCATACCAACTGTATTGTAGTAGGAAGAGTAGGCACATGCTGTACTGTCTCTTGACCTCTCACAAGGCTGCATCTCTTGGCCAGCTATCACAAGACTTCTGAAAAGAGAAACATTAGTATTGGACATAACAAAAGATGTGTGTCCAATTCTTCCTTGTGTAAGTCCATCCGCAGTTGCAGCAAGAGGGAAAGTTCACTAATGTATATTTATGGAGTAACACTGTTTGTGTTGTAGAATAACTTAATAAGCACTGACTGACTAATTACAGGAATGTACACAGAGAGTCAGTCTGTGTTTGAGATTTAAATGTTTTGTGTATTCCACAGTCTCAATTTCTTGTTTGTAATGTAAGAAACACCACTTGTGTGGAGCCATTTTGTGTTACAAAGAGAATGCTGTTGAAAAACAAAACACTTCACTTGTATTTGAGAGTACCTGGTTTGATTGTCAGTCAGGATTCTAGCTTTTCTAACTAGGGGTTTTCGTGGCTTGTCAAAGTCCCTTCAGGCAAATGCTTGTAAATACCTGGAAGAAGGCTGTAACCTTTTGCCCTCCAAATACCTATCAACCCTTCATTATTATAAATAATTTTGCAAGCTTTTCAAAACAGTGTGTGATTTCTGATTACATTATTTAAGAAAATATGAATCATGTATAGCAACAAAGATTAACACCTTCCTGTGTTGAAATGTAAGAACACTTTTATATATGTTAACATTTTGACCACCAGCCTTGACTAACCTCTTTCCTAATATCAGTCTAGAATTACCAGCTGATGAATTTTTGAGTTACATTATACTTCAATATTTAATTTTCAACTCGAAACTTCTTGTAATAATGATCATAATTAATGTAACAGTACTTTTCTATATATTAACTGTATCAGAAGAAACATCGAATTATGAATATATTTTGAATCAAATAATTTTGTCGTGGTATGTAATAAATTAACATAACATGCAATTTAATACAGGCTGGCCCAGAAAGATATATACACATTCAAGAATCCATAGTTCCTGCCGTTTATGAACTGTATAGAGATAAGGACATGGTATCAAGGCCGGGCATCCTCACATTACCATCGTTCTGTCATGGCGTATCTTGACAACACTTTTCTCGACCGATGGATAGGACACAGATCTGTTGAGTACCTCCAACGATCACTAGATTTAACCTAACCTGACTTTTTCTTTTGAGGTTATTTGACGCGCTGCACAACACAAAGCTGGGAGCACTTCAAGAGCTCCGAAGCTAGTGGTTTGGTTTATTTTGTTTCATTAAATGTGTGTATACAACTTTTTGGTTTGCTGTCTTCATGTACAGGTTTTATACCGGGAAGGGAATTGGAATTACAATTTAAAGGAAGAATGTTTAGTATGACCAAGAAGAAAATGATTCATCCAGTTACGAAGAGAAGGAATCGTGAAATGAATACTTTTCATCTATCTACCTCGGAAACAGTGGAAGAAGAAAATATGAAGATTTTAACTTCACAGGTAATCAGTAGATGGCATAAATCGATGTGGGAAGTGTTTTTGATGGAGAACGGGGTGACGTATTTTAAGATTATCGATATAAAGCGAATTTCCGGTTTTAATGATCGATTATGTAAAACGCAGTAAAAGCATTGCTTTGTTAAAGAATGGTCATGTGTGATGGAGTTTGGGTATTTGGAGTGTTAATTTAAAATTATTTTAGCAGTAGGTGACGATACAGATTGAATTAGTGTTTCAATTCAACGCTAAATTTTGTGGTCGAAGGAAGTATAATATAATTTATGGTCATATATATTTTATATGTATATAATTAAGCAGTTCGTCTAAATGTGACTCGTTTTACATCGGCAGATTTACCTAAAATAGTGTTACCATCCTGAATTATGTACGCCTACATATTAAATTATAAGATTAGAACTGCTGTGAAGTTAATTTATGACAATAGAAGTTTTCTTTTCTGTTCCGATAATCGTGAGATAATCTTACGTTCCTTAACAGAGTAGTCCTATTATATTACATGAATGCAGATGTCGATTGGCAGTGTGACGTATGTAATGTTTCTTGTTGACTTTAACATTTCACATATTTTGCCATCTATTGAGAAATGATAATGTGATAATGATAAGTGAATTGGTAAAGAACGGTGGGAGAATCGATCTTCGCTAATATAAATTACGTGATTTCGGTGCAGGTACAGAGGAATATTACGGGATATCTAATTCAGGGTGCAAGGTTGCAGATCGAGGTTCTAAACGGATTCGCCTGATATGGAATCAGGAAAGCTTCCTTAACGCGACATTAGGCGTGGCTCAGCACGTGTGTGTACGGTGAATTGGAGAAAGCGGCCATGTCGAATTTTATTTAAACTAATATTCCAGGCTGAGGAAAACCACAACAAACTTAAAATAATGGCCTGTGTTCTGATTGAAATTCGTTTTAGGTAAATTTATTGTCCCAATTCCCAATTCAATTAAAGTGTGTTGCCGCTCGCACTGTGCTCCGGCTATTTACAGGAAGTGGTCGTATAAAGCAGAGATGCGTGAAATGTGTGTCACGTGTTTAGTGAAAGGACGTTCTGTGCGTTTCTATGTTACGCAGAGTAGCATAGGCAGGAGAATACCAGGAGACGACAAAGAAAGGTTAGTCAACTTATCTTTTGATTGATATTTGCTGAAGCTGATTTTTCTTTTGATATATGTACACAAATGTTTTATTGAATTAAGAAGAATTAATCATGAAATTGAGAAATAACCTTTTTCTGAAACTAACAGTGGATGGATGACAACTGTTTTAAAGGTGCACACATTACTCGACCAACGTGTGTGTGCTCTGAACTCCAAGATGCAGGTTCAGAAACGGATACTGATGTGTGGTCAGGGGTGTTGATGATTTGGGGGGGGGGATTAACAATGACCATGATAGTGTTTGAGGAAGTCCAAAATTCGTATTGTGTGTGTCAGATCTGTAAAGTACGTACAAGCAGTGTTTCTAGGGCAGTATTATCTTGTCGCTCGGGCTGAAAATCGTTTTATGCGTGAAAGAGTTAATGTGAAGTAGTTAGGATTGCGTTTAAACGTAACACTCTGTATACAGATAGCGAGAATGTGGACACACCCCAGACACTTTCACAATGCCAATTTCAAACTCTCAGAGTAATTAATGCCATTTCGTGACATCAGTGAGATGACTAAAATGGAAGTCCGTTAATGAATAGAGGGACTTATTTAACACGAGATTCAGCATTTTTGTAACAAGAAATATTTTCAAAGTAAACTTGGACTTATCCAGAATTTATCGAGGACTTCTCCAGCACTTCATGAAGGCAGTCAAGGGAAGAGAATGAAACTGTTAAATTGCGAACAAGACCCAAAACCTTAATACGCTGTATCCATGAATTTTCATAATTGAGTGCGTTGCGACCTTAAATTGTCATCAGTAGACTTGAACCATCTGAGCCTTTTTTTCTTTATTATTATTTATAATAATAAGTTAAAACTGAGGAGCGATGTTTTCCGAATTTCGAACAATGCGCTGAAGAGACTTTAAAAAAATAAAAAAATGGCCACACATATACGTAACGGTTTCTTATCATTTCCTTTGTGAATTAATTATGTTATTTCTGCCAGCAGGGCATAAGATATTAGTGGTGGCGACTTTAACACTAAGAACGTAGAATTCTTAAACTGCGAATAAACTTTTGCTCCAAAGTTCTTAAATCTATCCTACGGAAGGGACCTTTTCTGTGTCTACTCTATTAAATAGCCCCCAGTTGATTCTTCGTAGAACGAATAATATTCAAGCAAAACTTGGGATTGGGGTATGTCCAGTTATTCCATATTTCGCTTGGAGGAAATTGAGAAAAAAAAAACAATAAGCCTCAATAAAGGTATTCGATATCCAAGACGGGATTCGAACCGCGTAGCCTCACCACAGTTACTCATTAGGCGTGTACTGTACGATATTAATTTCAGATTTCAGACTGGTTGGTTAAAAGCTTGTTTACCGACGCTGTATGAACTGCAAAGAGAGAAAACTATGAACATGAATACTATAAGCCAGTGGTATTCAACCTTTTTTTGTTCGCGTACCCCCAGATATAATTTCTCTTCAAATTTGTACCCCCAAAGTTGTTGGTGTATAATTCAAGTTATACATAGTATATAATCTACATCTAAAATAAATTAAATAAATTACATTACTGATTATTCAGTGTTTATCATAAAATAATATTTTTTTTTTAAATTTCACGTACCCCCTAAGATGTCTTCGCGTACCCCAGGTTGAATACCACTGGTATAAGCGACAGGACGGAAGCTATCATAGGTCTGACATGAATTTGGTGACCCTAAGAAAAACCATGAATAACTGATGAGCGGCCAAGGTTCGAAATTTGTAAATCTGAAACAAAAGTCACTCCTCTCGAAATACTGAAAAGAAAACTTGATATTTTCTCGAATTTCCCCGGAAGAAGCACTCTGACAGATATTTTTTGTCTCGAGAGCTCTACCCGGTTCGCGAATCTTTGAAAATTCTTTCAGAGTTTTCAGCTGTGTGTTCGGTTAAGTGACGACTTCTCTTTGAACAAATCCTGAAAGGCTACGGTGCAATCGTGACCTTGTTCGAAGAAGTTTTCCAGGAACCAGCAGTGCGCTGGGAAAGTGCAGTTATCGATATTTTCACATCACGCGACGTCCGAGCTCGACTCGGAGGAACTGACCTCCTCGCAGATATTTTATATCGACCGAAGTCAGCGTCACAATGTTGCTTGTAGCACGGATGGGTCTCGGGCCGGACGACAAAGGCGATTTTCCAGGGGCTCGCGTTAACTTGATTGTACATTAGACTAGCTGTCGTCTTTGGAAATGTGTTTAAATGTTCAGGTAAAATCTTTAAATACCGCTGACAGCATATTTGTTTCGAGGCACACGAAAAAGCTGGAGCTTAGTTCAACCCAACAAGACACATTTGGTTTCTTACCAGTCGAGTAGGTAATATAATTTTCTAAAATTCTCTGTGTAATATTTGCTTCCATTAGATTTTGATACTCGTATTTCAGAAAAAATAATTGTGGTCGTAAAGTCTTTACAGGGAATTACGATCT